GGCCACACTAAAATTGTACTACCTAAGAGAGAAACTTAATAGGATTGTAAAGAGGTTTTTAATACTTTATATGTGCATCGCGGACACCGTTAGCACCCATTTGCACCATTCTAATTTTCAATCAGGCGTCTGTGGTTCCTGCAGTTCCACAAAAAAGTAAGTGTTTGATGACGTCAATAATCACATAATCACATTAGTGACGTCACAGGTCATTCTTTCACAATGTGAAATTGAAAGTACACTTACACGAGTTTTTTTTTCTAAAACTGGGATATGGTACCTTGGATATATATCTGTATAGTTCCAGATTAAACTAAAAATAGCTCACCCACTAGCAGCTGTCAGGATTATAACTTTGTCTTCTTAAACTAAAATACGAATTTCCGTAACTTTCAAAATTAATATTTTGTCAGTTAAAAGGTTTTCAAACAAAGAACTATAAATTAAAGTATCAAAAGCAAAGTGCTCTGAAGTCTCATCAATTATCATAATTCATAGTGACTGTCCTAGGCGAATTTGAATCCTTGATGTTAAATATTCGTCAAGTTCTGGGTTTACAGATTTATGTATCAAAATGATAATCTTTATCCATTCTTTACTCTACTCCAAAGCCCATAACTCTCCTCTCTTCCTGCTGTCTAAATACCCATAGAACACAGAGTGGATGGTTACACAGGTCATATAGGCTCATTTATATAAGGCACAATGTCAATAAGGAACACCTGACCAGATGCAATTTGAATATATGTAATAACTAATAGGGATACCACCTAAGAACAAGTTCCATTTCTATGTATCTAAAGTACCGTGTCTAAAGATGCAGACACACGAGCGTCAAGTTTGATATTAGTTTTAACATCCAAACAGATTAATTTTCCTTTCAGTTGCCAGTCGGCGAAACTCCGGACATGACTCCAGACAGCGACAAAAATCTCCGACCAAGACCGCTCATGTGCCCGCACCTTAACTGGTTTGTGCTTAAAATATTTGTGCCTAAATGGCAATGAACTCTCCCCAGGAGGGCCTCTCTTTGTTCCTTCCTTCATTTTGTTTATTTCTTTTTAATTTCTTTCATTTTCTGCTTTTATTCTTAGGTCTTTTGCTTGTTTTCGAGAGAAATACGTAAAATATCAAAATAAAACCAGTAGGTCCAAGCCTTCTTCAATCTTAAAGCCTGTCAAAATCTCGTGAAAAATCTACTATTGTAGAAAAGATTTTTCTTACTTAAGGGAAATAACTTTTATCTATAAATCGCTAAGTTCATTCAATCATGACAGGTCTCATCAATATGTACATGCATACCAAAGCACGAGAAATTCCTTCGTTTGACTAAGAATTAGAGGGAAATCGTTTTCTCATTATTTCTTGCGGGTGTCCATACTTGGTGGTAACTAGTAACGCGTTGATGCACGTGATTCGTGTTGTTAGAAATACTTCAGGCGATATTGTGAGACGGTGAACGTCTCTTACGTAGTTCGATTATTTAGTATTCTATGATGTCAGGCGACGATGTGATCTCAGATACTGAAGTAACTGGTCTGTCTAAACAGAATGTTTCAGATGAAAATATTACATTACATCTGATATGTTTTTATACGCCCACGTGGAATAAATACGCTCACGAAGTTCGAAATTGGTAATAATTGGATGAAAGGTTTCTTAGTTATTGCCCTTGGCTTAATAAATTTGGCTTGTATGCTCGAAAAACGCTACAATTGCTATATGACCTTGATGAAACTTAGTATGCATGTATATATTGATGAGAGCTCGGTCAAGATTGAAATTGGTAATAATCGGATGAACGGTTTCAGAGTTATTGCCCTTGACTTGTAGGTCTAAGATCTCAGTCAAGTTCGAAATATTCTTCAAGAAAGAAGAAGCTGTTTCTGATTTAATGTTGAAGATCCTCTCATTTTGTATACGGTGATTGCCGACTTCACTGTAAATATACAGTTCCTTTCCCTGATCGATGCTAATTAGTTGAGAAAACTTTGAAAAGGAAGTAGAAATTTGTTAACTGTGCACTGCCATGGAAGCCAAGAAATTTTCGCTTTTTTGAGAGATAGTCGGTAAGCTTATTTCAACGAATTTAACGAGCGCACTTTGATGAACTATCGACCAGGTGGGTACAGACAGGGCACGGTGTCCGGTTTAGTTTACAGTAGAAAATGGACGCAGATAATATACGAGAGTGTTGAACCGATTCGCTTCCTCCATTTTCTGCATCATCTATAATCTCACACAAATATCGGACATGGGACATCGTTGTGTGCTTAAAATATTTGTGCCTAAATGGCAATGAACTCTCCTCAAATGACCAGGATGGCCTCTCTTTGTTCCTTCCTTCATTTTGTTTATTTCTTTTTAATTTCTTTCATTTTCTGCTTTTATTCTTAGGTCTTTTGCTTGTTTTCGAGAGAAATACGTAAAATATCAAAATAAAACCAGTAGGTCCAAGCCTTCTTCAATCTTAAAGCCTGTCAAAATCTCGTGAAAAATCTACTATTGTAGAAAAGATTTTTCTTACTTAAGGGAAATAACTTTTATCCATAAATCGCTAAGTTCATTCAATCATGACAGGTCTCATCAGTATGTACATGCATACCAAAGCACGAGAAATTCCTTCGTTTGACTAAGAATTAGAGGGAAATCGTTTTCTCATTGTTACTTGCGGGTGTCCATACTTGGTGGTAACTAGTAACGCGTTGATGCACGTGATTCGTGTTGTTAGAAATACTTCAGGCGACATTGCGAGACGGTTCGATTGACTTATTATTTAGTATTCTATGATGTCAGGCGACGATGTGATCTTAGATACTGAAGTAAACAGAATGTTTCAGATGAAAATATTACATTACATCTGATATGTTTTTATACGCCCACATGGAATACATACGCTCACAAAGTTCGAAATTGGTAATAATTGGATGAAAGGTTTCTTAGTTATTGCCCTTGGCTTAATAAAAATGCGTTAAATTTGGCTTGTATGCTCGAAAAACGCTACAATTGCTATATGACCTTGATGAAACTTAGTATGCATGTATATATTGATGAGAGCTCGGTCAAGATTGAAATTGGTAATAATCGGATGAACGGTTTCAGAGTTATTGCCCTTGACATGTAGGTCTCAGATCTCAGTCAAGTTCGAAATATTCTTCAAGAAAGAAGAAGCTGTTTCTGATTTAATGCTGAAGATCCTCTCATTTTGTATACGGTGATTGCCGACTTCACTGTAAATATACAGTTCCTTTCCCTGATCGATGCTAACTAGTTGAGAAAACTTTGAAAAGGAAGTATAAATTTGTTAACTGTGCACTGCCATGGAAGCCAAGAAATTTTCGCTTTTTTGAGAGATAGTCGGTAAGCTTATTTCAACGAATTTAATGAGCGCACTTTGATGAACTATCGACCCGGTGGGTACAGACAGGGCGCGGTGTCCGGTTTAGTTTACAGTAGAAAATGGACGCAGAAAATATACGAGGGTGTTGAACCGATTCGCTTCCTCCATTTTTTGCATCATCTATAATCTCACACAAATATCGGACATGGGACATCGTTGTGTGCCCCCATAGAATATAAAATCAATACTCTCTTGTACGCCTTAACATATCCAAGAGCATTCATATTTAATAAAGTCAGTAATTCTTAACCTGACAAACGTGATTCACAGACGAATTGGAGCTCTTAGTATGGATATTGTAGTAATCTCATCCAAAATGATCGTGACTTTGTCAGCGTGGATATGATTAAGTCATTAGTTCTTACGTACATTTTATAAGATTCGTGAACGAATAGAAAACTGTTCCAATGGATATAATGCGACTGACTTAAATTACCATAAGTTCTCACAGGAATAGAGTTAACACAGTTAAATAGCAAAATGCACACATAATAAGATTTTCATAAAATGCAAACGGTGTTGTTTAGCCAATTTGATAATTGCATACGTGAACTTATTTAAACGAGATCAACTTAAACACATAACAAGATTAAACAAAATCGGATATACAGGGCATTTACAAAGAAATGTGTGGGAAGGTCATGGTGTCGATATAGGATATATACATACCTTTGCGTTTCAAAATTCACTGAACCAAACCATCGTGGAGAGATTATTTCATTTATCTTCACAATATAACTTTTTAACTTCGATGAATAGTTATAACTGAAAAGAATATTTTCATAATGGTTTTAATTGACCTAAATATGTTTTTACTTGTATTGGTAATAGAATTAACAGTGATACACAGTCAAATGTGCACAAATCCAGGGCGATTTGGTGATGTAATTCAAACTGGAAAAGAAAGAAGAGGTACTGCGTTTAAAACCATCGATAAGATTGAACTTGTACAGTGTTGGAAAATATGTGTACAATACTCTTTGTGTACATCAATTAATTTTATGAACAGTAAATGTACATTATTGGCGGGCGAAAATCTTCAAGTAGTGTCTAAAACCGGGTCTTTTACTTCGGAGAAGAAAACTTGGCCGATCGAGAGAATAGCTGGGAAATGTGACAATCACAATTGTTCCAATAATGCTAAATGTATTGAGACATCGAAAGGGTTTTCCTGTGAAATAATTGGATGTATAGACCCCCCTGTTGATTATAAAGTTTTCAGTTTTTTTGTAATTTGGGCTGAAAATGATTCGGTGGCGATACCATGTGATATCGCGGATGAGTGTACAAATCTTTTCACCTGTCAACAGAATGGATTGTGGTCAAATGCTACTTACTACACAGGTGACAGACTTTACTTTGAAATTCTTTTGTTTTTATTTTGTACAAAATCTTTTCCAATGAATTCTCTTTATTTTATAATAAAGCATATAATGGTAAAGCATAATCTGTAATTTTCAGGGACAGCTCATCTTCAACTCAATATATGGCTCTGAATTCACAAAACTGGCGAGTTTTATTAAGTGCATTTATCCCTTTCTATATTTTTATTTTTATTTTATAGAAAGACCGTTCACCATCTTGCTCGAGCGAAAGAGAGTGGACAGAGTGGTTTAGTAGAGATTCACCTAGTTATTCCGGTGACCATGAAAATATTTACGATCTCTCACAAACGTATCCGAATAAAGTATGCAGCAACCCTACAGAAATCGATGCACGAATGAAGGGTAATCAAAATGGTTTAGTGGGTGATATGGTCATTTATACGCTATCCCTTGGTTTTAAATGCATCAACAGACACCAGTTTGATGGTCAATGCAATGACTATGAAGTGAGGTTTTGTTGTTAAAGAACAGTAAATATGGGTGGTCGAATTCATTCTGCTTATGAAAATCTATTTGTAGAAAATAGTAAAAGAGTAAAATCAAGCAAACTATTTGATTGTTGGTGTTGAATTATTACTATCAATGAATTATCCGTGTATTTGTAATCTATTATTTAATTAAGATTCCACGTTGTTTTACGTCACCAAATGAATGGAACTATATTTGAATTGACTTGTCACATTTTCTTATTTTAATATCATGAGCTAAATATTTAGGAGATATTTAAAGTCAAAACTGATTTAACTCAATTCATTATATTTTTTTCAAAATGAAATTCACAAGTATTATTTCCTGTTGCTGGAGATGATAAACGGAATACCAAAATGCTCACATAACAGTTGCATATAATAAAGAGTTTTAACCATGTCTGTACAAACTGGGTAATCAAAAAAAATATTTGATCTTTCTTGATCGGTCATTCCTCAGAAAATCTGTCTGCCTTCCCTTCGTAACAAGCTACTTAAGATTTAATTGAAATGAAATGAAATGAGTTTTAAGCCCTACCCTCCTGCACCTTATAGGATACTTAAGATGAACAACACCATGGAATGAATGACATTTTAGGAAACAATGGCATGAGCACGATGTATTTAAGCTATGTATCTATAATAAATATATAAGATACGCTTCACCTACATTATTTCTTTCTTAAAATCCTATAACATCAATTACATACACATATATGGTTGAATTATGGTATTTATAGTGATATGATAATCAATCGAAAGTCGCCGACATCTTGTATTGTTGTTTTATTCTTTGTTTTGTGTTGATAAAAAATGTAAATGTGCATGTTGTGTTGTGTGTTGATATACATTGCAATAACCTGCATCAAAACTATCATAATTAACTAAGCATTCCCTTCTAAATCACTGCACATATATTACAACGTTATATACCCCTTATGTTTCTTTTAAAACTTTTCACTGGTCAACGATACAATTCTAACACATTTTTTAATTATTTTTTCTAAGAATTAAAAAGTACATTTTTAGAATTGATTTTTTTTGTGTGGATTGGATCAGTCTCTTCCATATTAAGAACTTTTGAAAATTATAAATCCATGTCCCAATATTTAAGAATAAGCACTCGGCTTGTGTTATTGTCTTATTTGCAATATTCAAATGGCTATAAAAACGGATGTAAAAATCGTACAACAAAATCAAAGGCTTTATGTGATAGAGTTCGATAGAACGAACTGCATAAATCCTTTAATCGTGTACATTTTACGTGTCTTTTAAGCCACATTAAATGTGGCGTGTTACGATTATTAATCATTAAATAAATCGATTATGCCTCTTCCCTATTTCGTAAAATCGATTAATAGTTTATTCTGATTGACCATTACGTTTAGAGATACCGTCTGGAAACCTTTATATGCTGGTGAATTATAACAGGAATTTTAGCTAAAAAGCCAAAAATCCAATGAGACACCAAAAAAGGAAGAAATGTTGCCTCTTTGTGTCAAAGTGCAGATAGTTCAGATCCTTTCGAATCGGCCATTAATATCAATTGTTTCTATTGGTACATGGATTTCATAATGATTCTCATCAACAAACAGATTGGTTTCAAATTTCAACAAGATCGTGTTATTGTTGCCACTGTCATATATGAACCATTTTACTAAGTCAAGGGCAATAACTCAAAAACCAAATTTCGGTTATAATCAAACTTGCTCAATATCTCATCATTAATTTATACTTCAAGACCAGGTTCTATCTAGTTCAGATAAAAACTGTAGCCTCTAGCTTGTCATCTTCACAATGGTCAAGGTAATACGAACTTTGTCTTATGCATTGACTAAATTGGCAACTTTTCTTGTATCACAAAGGTGTAAATGTAGTGATTTGATTGGATTGTACACAAGTGAATACATCCAAACAAAGCCCTTCGTGGAA